CACTTAAGATTTGTGTGGAAGAAAGCATCTTGCTCGCAACAGAAAACTCAGGAATGTGCAGAATGCCGATCTCTGCACTTCCCAGGCAACTATATACGGCTTGAAGGGAAAGCAAGCAATTGTCAAGCATTTTCATTAAAAACAAACAGCCCCTGTGGCTAATGGGGAAAGCTGAATACTTTTCAAGGTTTTGAAATCCCACCTTGTTTTCTGGAAGGAAGGAGAATTGCAAGGGACTTCCCATCACTGGGGGAATTCTTCTTGCCGGGGATGGGAGCTTTGTACACTTTGAGCCCAGGCCTTTAGAGACGAGTGCATTAGGCGGGCACATTACCGAGACCTTTAAAGCATGCAGGCCTGTTCCTCACAGCACCTAGTCCCCGGTCATTTGTTCTGTGGCACCGGCTGAAGGAGCTTCTGCCCTTTCTCCACAGCTCTTTATCTTCCAAACACCATTTATCACAGGTAAATGGATTTTTCTGTAGAGCTCGCAGCTTGTCAAGGAAAAAAAACCCCTTTATTTAATCATAAAAGAATGTTCTTGTTGATGAACAACAGCCGGGATGATCACCGTGCTGTGGAATATCTGCTGTCGCTGGGTTTTGTGAACAGGTTACATGTAGCCTGCTCAACTAAAAATATGCCATCCATTAAAAGTCCTTTTCTTGCGAGCAGGCTTCGGTCTACCCCAGACAGTAAGGGCAGGACACTGGCATGAAGGACTGCGGTCCTTTCTTACCAACAAGTCTTTGAACTAACTCGTGCAGAGGCCATGGAAAGAGGAGAGCGCCGGAGCCCAGTTCAAACCCACTCTGCTCCGTTTACACCATCTGGTGTTTCCGTGCCCACTCCCCACACATCAGGGCTGTGAGCCCCATCCCTGCTTTGCACAGCTTGCACTCCCCTCGAGCCAGGCAGCGATGCTTGGGGAAGGAGGATGTCTCCCCGCTGCAGTGCCCGGCAGAGGTGCTGCGAACAGAACCAGGTGCATTCATGTCAGTGAGTGGGAACATGGGCAGAAAGAGGGGAGCGGGACTGCTTGTGACTTCAGGGGAGGGGTTTTGAGAACAGGCCTGCTCAGGAAGCCCTGAGGAAGCATTGGAAATGAGGATGCTCTTCATTTTGGATGTGCTGGTCTGGTATGTTGCAGCGCCCCGCCCCGCCCCGCCCCGCCCCGTGTGGGCTGCCTGCGCGGCACTGGTGTCCCGCAGTCCATCACGGGCCTCGGTTGTGAAGGAGGGGTTAAGCGACCTGGAGAGGAGCATTGTGTTGTGATCCTGGCATTCAGGATCAATCGAGGAGCTTCTGGTCGATCTGAAAGGGAACGCCACGTGTGTGCATTTGTCCAGCCCCCAGCCCAAATCTCTGGGTTTGGTCTTGGGCGGTTCATCCGCTGGGGTTTCAGTTCAGTGTCTGAACCGAGTAGCCCATTTTCCTCCAAGCTGGAGCCAGACACACTGCCCGGGCTGTTGTACAGCGTAGATGTAGCTCAGAGCGTCTGGGCACGGTCTTGCCTTGCTGAGGCCTCTGCAGGTGTTTACAGCCGTGCCGGGGATGCATCCTTTGTAGCGGGTTCCAGGTGCGTTGGCGGAGCTGGAAGATGCACGATGCAGCAGGGCAGGGCTGCCTGCAGAGACAGGCCCCGGGCAGCCGGGTGCCGTAGGCTGAGCCAGGGGATGTGAGAAGCTTGCAGAGATTCAGCCTGCCCCTGTTTCTTCCTCTCTCTGGAGACCTAACTCCAAGCACAGCCCCTCAGCAGCAAACCCATGTCATTCCCCCAGCACGCGGGGCCCAGAGACCATAAAGCTCTTTCTCATCTGACTTCTATTCCCTTCACGATCGGCAGCTGCTGGTTTATTGCAGCCCTTTCTGCAGAATGACGATATTATCCAGCTCCACGGCACGGCATTTGTCTTCCCTCTATTAAAAGCGGCAAGCGCAATGGCCTTGCAAGTCGCTCCCTGCAACCCGAATATGTGCTCTGTGGAGGTGCTCGGGGTGCGCCCTGCCCGCCCCTCTGGCCCCGGTGCGTGCGTGGTGCTGAGTCCGGTGCATGCCGCGCACTGTTGCACGGGCTTTGTGTACACAAGGTGACTTCTCCAGAGGGGCGGAGAGCCACCCGCTGAGCAGGAGTCGGAGCCCTTCCTGAAAACACACTGGGGGCCAGCCAGGCAGGGGGTAGGAGCCAGCTCTGCCCAAGAGATGGCTGGGGGAGCCACGGCATGCTCCTGAACCCCCTTTCTGCCAGCCTCGGAGCTTCAACCGCTGTGAGTCAGGCCTGGCTTAAATCAAGTGCACTTGTGGCTCCTTTTCACTTGCCGTCCTGCTCGGAGCCTCTTTGGGTTGCATTTGCCAGCCTGTCTCTGCCGCCCCCAGGGCCAGGGGCTTCCTTTTAACCACTACAAAAGGGACTTGGATCCCAGGAGATCCCAGGAAACTCCATCCTCTCCTGCAGCACGAGCTGCAAGTTTGCAAGATCTGGCAGCGCTGGCATGTCCGTGCAGGAGCTAGGCAATGCTCCCCGATGCCCCCAGGCAGAAGGGGGCTGCCCCCAAATCCTATTCCTGGAGCCATCACAGGGAGAATGAATAAACTGCAAAAGCTCATCTGCTTCTTGCTAATGCTGCTGCTGACTTCCTGGCCCAGCCGGGCCTGTCTGCTTTGCTGCTCTTTCCAGTTGCTTGCACTCCTTGGCTAGAGTGGCTGCAAGCCTTGAATTCAACACCCGGGGTGGATGATGGGGGACACTAAATACCAAGAGCTGGTCTGCGTCGTGCTGCGTGTCTGTGCCCCTGTATCTGGTGGGAAAGCTTGAGCCAAGCCATCCCCAGGATGTCCGTGGTGCTCCGACCCCCTGAGGAGGGAGCATCTGCCCCCGTCCACCTCCGCTACCGTGCTGCGCTTGTGGCTGGGGTGGCCGCAGCAGCTGGGCCAGGCGAGCGGAGCCAGGGAAAGAGGCCGTGGGAGGAAGAGGCCGCTTGGCCAGGAGTGGGGGGCTCTCTGTTCTGCATTGCACGCGGCCGGAAGGGCTGCACATGTGCCCGCCCGAGTGCCCATCCCCACCTAAGCTCCCCGCTGGGCGCTGTGGGGTTAAAAGGCGCTGGTGCAATGCCTGTCTCCAAAGCCAGCTTTCCGCACCCGCATCCCTGTGCAGGGGATGGATGGACACTGTATTCTTCACTGGAAAAAGTATCCAAAGCGCTGCCCCGGGAAACACAGGCCCTTTGTGTGCAGCAACAACGCCCCATTCTTTGGGGCATCGTTTTGTTTAACTTTTGTGCCTGGGCTGGGTGAGAGTCTCGCCTGGCAGGGGAAAACCAGCACTGATAAGAAGGACAGTGAGCTTGTGAAAGGAGCTGACTTGTCTGGGAGCCAGCCCAGGGGCGACCGTGACAACGGAGGCTCCCGGCACCTAAGTGACTCACGGGGTTGCCCGTCACAGGGTTGGGGACAGAGGCAGGGAACCGTTTGCAGGTCTCTTGTTATCAGGCCGGTTGCAGGTTTTCGTGTCAGCGGCTTGCGTTAGCCGCCGGCACTTTCCACCAGTGCATCTCCGTGTCTGCCTGGACGGCGGACCCAAGCCTGGGGTGGGGTCACAGGTTGTACAAGCCGAGCTGTTTGTCAGGGGGGCTCGGGTCTGTTCGCTGGCCGGAAGAGCAGCGGTACAGCCCCCCTGGCGCTGCGTCGAGAGTCGGCATCTGCACATCCGGGGCAGGCGAGACCCCGTGCGGGGCGATCAGCAGTGGCGCATGGCTCTGCCCCGACAGCAGTTTGACAGTGCTGAACTAACCCCTATTGCAGTCATTCCTAATTCCTGTTCCTATTACACCATTTCCAGCCGGCCGTCTGACTGGCCACCCTGTGCTGGGCTGGAATGGGGCAGACAAGGGGGCTCCTGAGGGATCACGGGCACGTGCGAGTGCGGCAGTGTTGCGCTTGGGCCTCGTCACGCCCAGGTGCTCCTGCCTGTCCCGGGCACTTGCTGTCCATGCCGGGGTAATAAGCCACAGAAATGCAGGAATGGGGGGATGCTGGACAGGACAGGGGGCTACCTCCTACGAGAGGCCTCCAGGACCCGGTTTGACCCCTCAGCATGGTGCGTGGCGGGCCCCCGTCCTGCCAGCAGGCCCGGGGCTCTGATGGCTGCATTATGGATTGCTCCAGGTGGGCGACCAGATGAAGCTGCTGCAAAACTGCTGGAGCGAGCTGCTGGTGTTCGACCACATCTACAGGCAGGTGCAGCACGGCAAGGAGCACAGCCTGCTGCTCGTCACCGGCCAGGAGGTAAGCGGCGTGCCGGGAAATGGCAGCCCCTGCCCTGTTCCCCAGTCCCAGACACGGGCCCTGGGTGCTTCTGCAGCTAGTGCTGTCATGCCTGGGGCCTGCCCCGACCTGGGGGATGTGGGGCCAGCCCCATCCCAGCGCGTCTCGCAGTTGTCCGATTGCCAGCTTGCTTCCAGGTTGGCAAATGCTCTTTTGCTTTGATTTTTTTCTTGCTTTCATATTTTTGGAAGCTGATGGAGATCAGGGCTGCCACTTCCTGCCGTGCTAGAGAGATCTGGTCCCCTGCTTCCTCTGTATAGCATCCACTTCTGCCATGGTCAGACCCCGGGCCAGGTGGGCCGCTGGTCTGACCCAGTACGGCACTGCTTCTGCCCTCATGCTCTCCTCCCCTAGCTAGAAAGCCCCGTTGTGGCTCGCCGGAGGCCAGGTTTGCCTGCAGGCTACTGGCTTGCAATGAAACGTTTCCCATCCCCAGAGCCGCAACCCCTGACATCTCTGAGCACCGGTGTCAGGACAAAGGTAGCACGGCCCTGCCTTGCATTTCATAGCTGAGGGCAGGGGCCAGGAGGCGGAGGGGCTGGTGTCCACGCTGGGAGCCGAATCCGGGGCTGGTAGGCGAGTCCGAGCCCCAGATCTGTCCCGCGCCTGGCTCTCCACGAGGGCGCTGGGGCACGGGCAGCCCCTGGGCTTCTCGGGGCGTCAGTCCAGGCCATGACACCGTGGGCACGTCTGAGCTGAGCGCTGCAGGGCAGGAGCCTTTACGGACCCAGCTGCAGCCCCTGGTCCAAGACGTATCCCTGCTCCCAGCTGCGAGCCGGCCTCGCTCGAGGGGAAACGAGTGACTTTTGTCTTACTTCTGCCGAGAGCCCCTCCCTCCCGCTGCCCCGCCTTCCCACCGCCTCCGGATCAGGGGCTGACCCGGGCAGGGGACCGCAGCGTTGTTTTTGCTGGGTCCGGGATTGTTTATGCCGCGAGGGAGAAACAGCGGCTTGCAGATAGACCCACATGTCCACAAGGCCCCGGCAGCCGGCTCCGTCTCGGCTTCCAGCCGGCAGCGCAGGGAGGATTCCTGGGTTTGCAGCGAGACGTTTCTCAGCAGAAACATCAACAGCCGCGGCTGTATTTACAGAAGCTGGGTGTGAGAACCAGCCAGGCCTGCCCGGAGCGGAGACGCCACGGGCAGCGCCTGCTCCCACCAGGGCACCTCCTGTTTGCAGCAACGATTGAAGCGTAGTGGGGGGCAGCTCCTGGGCTCCCCACGGGGGGTGGAAGGTGCCCGCTTGGGCTAGTATGGTGGGCTTACATGGGTGAATCCACCTAGCTTCTCCATTGTGCATCCCACGTTTGCCCCTGAGAATCCAGCCGTAGCAATGGAGGGATCTGGCCCCCGTTCCTCCGGTGTCTGACGGATGTGGGGAGCACGCCCCGAGCCTGGAGCAGGTCCACTTTTTTGGGTGCCCTGGGGTAGCCCATGGGTGCTGCTGAGCGTGCACTGCTGCAACTACTGAGCCCCGCTTCCTCCCTGTGCTCCCAGGTGGACATGTCGACCTTGGCGGTGCAAGCGGGCTCCATCCTGAACAACCTGGTCCTGCGTGCCCAGGAGCTCGTCCTGCATATGCACTCCCTCCAGGTTGACCGGCAGGAGTTTGTCTGCCTCAAGTTCCTGATACTCTTCAGTCTCGGTGAGTGTCTTGGTCTGCGGGGGCCAGATGGAGGATGGGGGGCTGGACAGCATGGGCTTGCCCCGGGCTCCCGGCAGTGGGTGGAGAGCCAGGGACCTTTCTCTCTCCAGACACACTTGCTAGGGCTGCCGGGAGCCGAGGCATCAGCATTCACCAGGCAAAATGCTTTGTAAAGGGAGAAAAAGATTTGTCACTTTGTAAGGAACAAGGAGAAATATGGGCACAGCGGGGCCTGCCTGCTCCTCTCTCCGGGGGGGCAGCACCTCTGCTTCAGGGGGCTCTGGGCAGGGTTCAGCCCCCCAGGTCCGGAGGGGAGCAGCCGTGCCCATGCACACTGCGGGGGGACGCCTCGTACCCCTCCGGTCGGCCGAGCCGGCGCTGGCAGGGACGCATTGGCACGGGGCAATGGTGTCACCGGGCAAGTGCCACGTGGCTGAGGGAGCAGCCGAGATCCCACCTGGTGCCAAGCGGCCGGAGGGCTATTTTGGTAACGAGGCTGTTGCCCGGGGCAGCGGAACAAGCCGGCTGATAGGGCTCTGCAAAACACCCGTGTTTACAATCCCCCGAGGAGGCGCGGGCCCTATCTGGCGGCATTTGCGTCAGAGCCAGGACGGGCAGCCTGGGCATCCGTCTCATGCCCGGTGCCCGCCCCGTGGTCTGCGGTCCGGCAGCGCGGCCCAACCCGCGCAGTCGCTCCTTGCCTAGACACAATATCTGTGCCATGTGGGGGGGCTGTCCCCACAAGTCCTGGGCTCATTTGTGTAGCCCAGGTGGTTACCATAGCAATGCGCGTGGACGGGAGCCGGCGCAAGCGGCCAGCGCCGTGGCGGCCTGGCTGAGCAGCTGCTATTGATCTGGGAAGTTTCTTTTTGCAGGTGTCTAATTATCACCTTGCCACGGGCCCATCACGAGGCGCAGGCTGCAGGCAGGGGCCATGCTGCCTTCCCCCTGCCGGGACCCACTTGGTTGCGGGGGGTCGAGGCTTTTGTGCTCCCGAAGCCACGTTGGGGTCAGCGAGAGGGGACCGGTCTGCACCCTGCCTGGCCGGTGCTCCTTTGTGTGTGGGGCACCATTGGGCACCGTCAAGGGGTCTTGGAGAGCCAGCATCATCTGTGTGGCTTGGGGCCTTCTTCCTCCCCCTCATTCCCTCCAGCCCAGGACCTCTCCCCCTCCTTTCTCATCCCTTCCATCTGTTTCTCCTTCCTCTTTGCACCCTGCCCTGTCTTCCCCCTTCCTTGAGCAGTCACGTTCCCATTGCTGCTTTGGTGATGTTGGATGGCTCTGGCGGGCCCCTGGGTGCCTGCCGGAGGGTCTCATGGTGCTCGCTTACACTGGGACCTCCCATTTCCACCTGCCCCATCAGGTAGATCAGCATCTTAATGCAAGAGCTGCTGATGGAGAGAGCGTGCGCAGGTCTCACGTTGGCCAACGAGGCCGTAGTCCTTCCCTGTAGGCCTCTCCAGGCCTGTGGTGCCTTGTATGGCCTCCCGGGATATGCGAGGGCCTTCGGGGACAGGTGTGTTTGGGGGGAAAGAAAGGAATGAGCGAAAACTAAGATTTGCAAGAGTCTTGTGGTTTTGTATCCCAAGGGACTGATTTTCTAGGGAACCGGGGCTTGCACTTTGTGGACATCCAGCCCCTCTGTGGGTCCTAGATTGTCACCCCAGACTTGTCCCGCCAGTCACTAGGGCCAGTGCATCCGTCAGAGCCTCTTCTTTTTGCAAAGGTCGACCTGGACCCCTGCCCCCAGAGGACTCTTTGTGTCCAGCCAGAGGCAGCTTTATAGTGCAGTAGGATCCCACGTGTGTTCATCATATCCTAATTGTCGTCCGGTCGTGTGCCAGGATCCCAAGGATGGTTAAAGAGCTGCCCACCTTAGCAGGCCACTTGCTTGCCGGAGATGGCGAAGGCAGGGCCCTCCAGTCTGGAGGGAGGGGACAGCTCTGCAGGTTTGACTCGCTCGGTCCCAAACAGCCCACAGCACTCCAAGGGGGTGTCCGTGTCCTCCCTCGAATGACGGGGAACCAGCCAGGGCTCGAACACGAACCTGGAGGCACCTTGCATCATGCGTGATGTCTGGGGTGTGCCGGCCTCCCTTGCTCTTCCAGGCATCCCATGCACAGGCTTCCCCACGGCTTGCACCGTGTGAGCACCAGGGCGTGCAGGGCATGTCCTCGGGGCTGCCTGGCTCCATCAAGGCGGAGGCGGTACAACCGTTTATAGCGTCTTCCCCGATTTCACCAGTTGTGCCCTGACAGATTCTCCAAATCGCTCGTGAAACCTTTAATGTTCTTGTGTGAAGCAGTCTGACCACAGTGGAGGTGGGGGCCGGGCGGAGATTTTTCAGAGAAACCCAAGAGACTTAGGCACTCGACTCCAGGGATGTTTTCTAGCTCTCTGAGGCCCCTTGCACAGTCACAGTCACAGCCACAGCCATGGCCGGTGGACTAGTGATTAGTTGTTTTCCATGGGATATTTTTTACAGAGGTGAGCTTGGCAGCTCTGGTTGACCCGGGCTGTTTGGCAGGCCAAGGCTTTTCCAGCGTGGCCGATGAGCATTTGCTGTCTTCTCTCCTTTCTCTGCATGCGTGAAGCACCAACGGTCAGGTACGCTGCGTACGTGCCGCGTGCCTTCGCCGGGTGGACGTGGCAGGCCCTGCGAGACGGTGAGAAGGAGCTGGCCCTGGCACTGAGAGCCCATACCAAACCTTCCCCAGCCGTTGTTTCCTCTTTCAAAAAAAGCTGCTTTAAAGTCCAAGGAAATTAAATAAGATAATCTGCTGGTTAAACAGTGATAAGGCTGAGGCACAAACAGTGCCCGGCTTGCAAAATAGGGGGGCGGGTGGCTGGAGGTGGTAGAGCCACTGCCAGTTTGGGAGAAGAGGGGCGGTAGGTGGTGGCATTTTGGCTCTGCTAGTCATAGCCCCTCTGCGGCGAGGTCCCCAAGGCGCGTGGATGCCCTTTGCTGCGTGGGCATGTCCATTGCAACCCCAGGGCCGTGCCTGTCGGCAAAGCGCAGGAGCCTCCCGGAGCTGGCCGCACGTTCAAATCTTGCCTCCGTGGCATGTTCGGAGCGGCAGGGAGGGGCAGAAGATGGGCTGCACGTCCCCGCCTGTCACTCTTCCCCAGCCCGACCGAGTCTCCGTAATGCAGAGCCCCTTGGAATAATTTGCCCTTCGCAGGCTCAGCTGTAGAGGACGGGACTGCGTATTATGTGTGGGATGTAATTGCCTTTAACAAGAGAATTTCCACATTTACCACTCTGCCACAGCACAATCAAAGCCAAGCCATGCACACAAGAGCCTGCCATTTGAGTTCTAAATAGATTTCTCTCCTGAGCAGGTAAAGAGGTTTAATTAAAATTAGGACTTCTCAAAATAGCAATATTTATGAGGACGGCACAGGTTAGCTTTGTTCTACAGAAGGGCTTAATAGAGCCTTAATGGATTGACCTATCATTCGATTTCATGACTTACATTCATGAAGCAGCTACTCTTGGGGAGGGGAGGAAGAGAGGCTTTTATAGCCCACATTCCCTTAAGCGTTTGCAATTTATCAGCAGCTTCTCCCAAACAAAAGGAGCTGTGAATAGGAAGAACACTTGAGGGCATAGAAATAATCCCAGGCATATCTGTATGTGTGATGGGCTGCTTTGTCACAGGACAGAGTCTTTGCAACTGCTGCAGTGTCTCTAAATGAAGTGAGTCAATGTTATTTGGACAACATTCTTTATTCTTTGCAGGAATGAAAAGATTATTCAAATATTCAATTAAACCGTGAATAGGGTCTTTCTGAGAACCAGGTGAGTTCATCAAGTAGAACTAGCTATTGTTGAGCCAACTCAGGGTGTAGGTTTGACATTTATCAATATAACTTCATTTTTTTATGACATTCACAATAACCTTATGCAGATAAAGAGATTTCATAACAACGAGCTCGCACAGAGCAGAGACAGCCACACTCAGAGCAGATGTGCCACAGGAGGGGAAGGGTATAGCGCATGCACCTCGGCTGCTTTGAGCTGTCCAGCGCGGAGGTGGGGAAAGACCCGGCAGGTCATGCTGTTGCCCAGCCCTGCGCCAGGCCATCGGCACTCCCCTGGGCTTTGTGCAGAGGTGTTGGGTGATGGGGCTTGCACCACTCCCTTGCAGGATTTTTGCAAACATCTGGTTGGTCTAATAAAAGAGATCACCTCTGCCACTAGTTTGGATTCCCTTGCTGGGACCCAGTGGGCACCAGGCCTCCCTGCTTGCACTCGTGCCTGTGCTGAGCAGGCAGCAATGTGGCAGCACCTACTTCGCTGAGCCGGGACTCGGTCTGATTGGCGTGCCGGTCCGGTTTCCCCCTTTTAGACGGGGCATAGGTGCTGGTTGAAGCCAAGTGGGTCTGAGCAGGCCCCAGGCGCCCGGCTGGAGCGAGGCAGGGCAGTTGTGGGTAGGCCTCTTGGTCAGGGTCCCTCACCTGGTTTTCCTCCCAGGTGACAGCCCCATTGCAGGTGATTCGCTCCAGTCCAGGGGCACCGTCCGTTCCGCAGACTGTCCAGGCCCCACACGTGACTCAAACAGCCATTGACACGGAGCCCCGCTGACACGCTCTGCCTGATTCAGCCCGGCCCCCGAGTCACGCCATCCAGTGACTCAGGCCTGCGGCTCCTGGAACGTACTCATGCCCCGGACAGGCCGCTGGGTGTGTATTTGGTTTGGTCAAGTACTCTCTGACCAGCCTCTTATCATCCGGGCTCCACTGCCTCTCCCAAACCTCACTTCGTTCGGCTTGTTCGAGGGTCCGGGAAGGAGTTTGGTGGATTGTGCATCTCACCACCACCTCCTCGCTGTCTCTGCTCTTGAGGCCTCATCACCGCTGCTTTTCTTTCTGACCTGTGTTTAGGAAGCTGTAATGCATCCAGATGGAGCAAAAACTCCTGATCTTCCATTGCTGTAAGGTCATCTTTAGTCTTTAGGGCAAATCTACCCCCTCCCTGCCCCCCTGCAGTGCGCAGAGTTATCCTTGGGTGGGATTTGTGCCCATCTTCCATGGTGCCACCTTGCTCGGTTTCTTCCCCCAGTTGATTTCCATGAGCAATTCCCTTTAGCACGGAGGTGCGAGCTCTGCAAAGGAGCCTGTCCTCTTCCAGGGACCCCTCAAGCCTTTGTGTTTTATCATGGGCAGATCTATCACCTGTCAGCCCAAGCCCTTCAACCCACTGCGCTCAAGGCTCAGGCTCAACTCCAACACTTCCCAGGGCTCAGATTTGATGGCTTTGAGCTGAAATCTCTGACCTGAACTGGGTTTGGTGCAGCCAGCGGCTACGTGCACACACAGACAGCAGCTTTGTTATCAGGCAAAATGGCGATTGTTGCTGCAACTCTATCTAGTACAGTAAATCTGCTAAAGCCGGTAGCCCCAAATGTTTTCGGCGAGGATGTTTAGAGCAAGGTCTCTTGGAAGTGGGGTCTGAGATACAATCCTTGCGGTGTTTACATGGTATCCAAAAACAAGCAGGCATATATAGTGTCGCTTTACCAAAGCCACGGGAGCAGGGGGCTGGTTTGACCGTGTTACACGGCTCAAAAAGCTGGGATTTATTTAGCCAAAGGAAAACGGAAAATGTGAGTGTTGCTCACTGGGAGGCACGGCAATAGCATCCTGCCACCTGCTGGGAACTGCACACTCGTTCAAGAGCAGTGTGTAGAGGGCAGCGAGCAGGAGGGTGCATGGACACGCGCGTGAACTAAACCGTCCTGCGCACTGACTCGGGAGCTCAGTTCAGTCACGGGAATAAAGTGCCCCGTGTGCTCTGTGCTCCTTCAGGGCTCTGACCTGGGATAACCCCCCGAGGGACCGGTGATACTGGGCGGTGGCCATGCCCCCGGGTCTGCACCTTACCTGGACGGTGGCTCTCCCACCGGGCACCCTGCACTGGCCCATCAGGCTTCGCAGGGGCAGAGATGGGAAGGGGCCCATGAGCCCTGAGAGGTCAGCACAGCTCAGCTGTTCAGGTCACAGGGCAGGGAAGCCTGTGGCGGCTGGGACGTCCCTGCCCGCGTGGCAATGGCTTGCTCTGCAGACAGGGGCTGCCTGTGGCGTGTCCAGTGCACCAAAGGGCTCACTCTGAGGGGGGCAAAGCAGAGCTGGTGGGTTGCTCTGTGCTCCCTCCTCTTGCATGCAGGAGTCTTCCCTCGGGAGCTGCAGCATAGCCACGTCCATTCAAATCCTTGGGCGAGCGTTGCAGAGTTTAGGGTTAGACTCAGTGCTCCTGTTGCAGGATGCATCCCTCCCTGGGAAGCAGCCAGGTCCAGGCAATGTTTAGACCCTGGCGCTGTGCAGAGGACTGGGGTTGCCACATCTGCCGAGCTCTGTTCCTACATTGGAAACCCGCAGTGCATCGGGCAGTTAAGCCCTCCTAGACATTCGGACGTCAGCGTGTCTGAGCTGTTAGAAGCGCGCCAGTTCTCAGCTCTGCAAGCCTCCCGACGAGGCAGCTGCTCTGCTTCCCCCCGCTCTGGCTGCACCCAGATGACCCCCGTGCCCTGCGTGGCTCTGCTCAGAGCGCGCTAGTGGAAATCACCACCCAGGCGCCAGGCCCATTATTTCCATTGCAATGGCATCTCAGGAAAGTATCCTGGGCACGAAACCAGGTCACAAGTCAGGGCTGCCTGTCAGAGGGAACAGGGATTTCCTTGCTGGGGGCACACTGAGGCCGTTTGGCCAGGCAGGGTCAGACGTGCACGCGTCCTCCAGCCGCTGCTCAGTAACTGCTAGCGAAGTCCCCAGGCAGGGAGCGCGGGGACATCACTGGGTTCGTCTGGGTGCGTCCCTGCTCGGGCTCCCTGCAGCAGTGACCAGGCCCTGTGTTCCTGTTGCAGATGTGAAATACCTGGAGAACCACAGCCTGGCCAAGGACGCGCAGGAGAAGGCCAACGCGGCGCTGCTGGAGTACACCGTGTGCCACTACCCGCACGCCACGGACAAGTTCCGGCAGCTCCTGCTGCGGCTGGCCGAGATCCGGGCCCTGAGCATGCAGGCCGAGGAGTACCTGTACCACAAGCACCTGAGTGGGGAGGTGCCCTGCAACAACCTCCTCATCGAAATGCTCCACGCCAAGCGGACTTGAGCGCAGCCTCCAGGCAACAGACTGCAGCGGTGGCGCCCGCTGCGGGCACCGAGGGCTGGCCGGCCCCGTGCCCCAGCTTTGCTATTGAAACTGGACTCTTGGGAAGTTTCAGAGGATTTATTTTAATATACAGGAACTCTGGTTTCACAGCTCTGTCACCACCCTGCCCTGTCCTGCGTGGGCTGACCCGCCAAAGACCTGCCTCTCACCTGGCAGCAAGCTCCCCTCCCAGCCACTGGCTTCACCCGCAGGGGGGAAGGGCGGGGGGCACCCACCCTTCGCTATGGCTTGTCTCTTATTTATGTTCCTTTCAAGCTGCCTTTTCTTAGCAGGGACCTTCCCCCAGCCCCTCTGCCCGCTAATGTGAAGCGTCTTGGGGATGCCTCCTCCCACGGCGAGGGAACGAGGGGAAGGGCTCCATGGCCAGCTTGCCTCCTCGGAGATGGCTCCCGGCTCTGCTCAGTGGGGTGGAGCATTTGGGGAGCAAGAAGTCAGGGCTGGGGGTCGGCAGCAGGAGGGTGATAGTGGCAAAGGGTGCTGTGCGGGGAGCTGGCCATCCAGCACGAGCATCCTGCCCCTGCCCTCTGTTTGGGAGGGAGTGGACAGCCAGGCTCGCCTCCACCAGTGGGGTCTGCACGGCAGCTGTCCCTCTCCGCCGGGGTGACCCTGCCCTGCCACCATGGTGCCACGGCAGTGTGGCTGTGCAAGCCTGCCAGCCCATGGGTGCTGCTTGGGGGTGGGCAGGTCTTGCCCCAGAGTAAATGGGAAAAGGCTGGAGGTGGGGAGGGGTGAGCAAGCAACGGGATGACAGGTGGGGCAGTGTCAGCACTTAGATAACACATGGGCTCTGCCTCTGGGCAAGCTTGGCCTGATGTGCCAGAGCAGGGTGCTCTCCTCCCCAAGGAGCCGATCCTGCTTGGTTAGCACGCCAAGATGCCGAGTCTCCCGGGGCATCATGGTGCCTGCCAGGGTGGCCCCTCGGAGCCGCTACTGCCCCCAGCGCCGATCCCCATGGGTCTGTGTGGACCCCAGGGAGCGAAGCCTTTGGGGAGGGGATGCTCTAGCAGCGCGGGTCTCCCCTTAACCCATGCTTTGAATTTCCGTGCAGGGTGCCCGGCTCCTGGGAGGGAGAAGCAGGGCTGAAAGAGGCACTAGGAACCAGACCGGGAGCAGGAGGTACCCTGCAGAGGCCGTCTGTCCTCACCACATGTACCGACAGGTTGGCAGCCTGGTGGCACTGCCTCTGGCACGGAGCGGCGAGTACCCTCGGCGGCACTGTCCTACCCGACCCGCTGCGGGACCGGGTTGAGCAGCCCCCTGTCCAGCCCCTGCCCTGTGTGCCAGGCTCTGTAGAGCACAGGGAGACTCCACAAGTCACAAGTGGAGAAGGCGCCCACACTCCCCTGCGACGTCTGCGCGGGCGCTGGATTTGGGGGTCCAGACCTCCCCTGACAGACATGCCCCAGGGCTGCTGGAGGGCTGGGAGCTGGCCGGCCAGTGCACCCCTGCTCCCCCTAAGACGGAGCAGTTGGCAGCTGTTAGCACCTGCGTGACCGAGTGCGCGCCCCTTTGGGGCAAGGCCGCAGGAAGCCAGGATGCTTGTGGCCCCTGGTGCATGAGCCGCCTCCGTGCTCACCAGTGCAGCCCTCCCACGCGGTGAGCGGGGCTGGCTGCAGATATCAGACAGCAGAGCCCCTTTGACCCGAGCATGGCTCCCTCCTGCCCGTGGCAGCCGCCCAAAGTGCCGTCCTTTCCTCTTGCCCGGGCCCATCTCCCTTCCTGCATAGGTCCGTCTTCACTGCCGCCGCCACGTGCTAGCGCGCCTGCAGCCCTTTCTTGATGCCTCCATGTTAGTGGTGAGTGATGGTCCCTTGTAACCGTTGGTTCCAGTATATCTCCCATCCCAGGCGCTCGCTTCTGGTCTAGGAGGGCTGGCAGCACGGTGCGGTGCGGCGCGCTCAGGAGCCGGCGCGGCCAGCACGCACCTCCCCGGCAGCTAGAAGCAGCTCCTGTCCCAGCCGCTTGTTAGATGCAGAAGAGCATGCTTGTTTCTGCCTTTCAGCCTGTTAGTGCGTTTCCCGCTCCCGGTCCGTGGTTCGGTTTCACGTCGTACTTTGTGCAGTTCAAGAGCTGGGATCTGGTTCGGGCGTGAAAAGCTGTTTTATTTTTCAGACAATGAGAAGTGTCCTTAAGTGTCTCTCTCTCCCCCCTGCGCTCCGGCCGCTGACCCTCTCCACCCCTGGCAGGAGGTGGCTGTTCCCTTCCTTGTCAGGAGCAAACCACTGTAATAAATTTTGCAGTTCACTTCAGCCGAGCGGCTCGTCTGGCTTCTTTGTAAATACCCGATGAGCTGCCCGCAAGCGGGCGCCTGCTGCTCGCACCCCTCGGGCCACACGGCTGCCCCCTTGGCAGGGCAGGGCAGGCCAGGGCTGGCACAGAGCTGGGACCAGCCGTGCCCAAAGGCATCGTCCAGCCCTGGTGCCACGCGGCAGCCCTCTCGCTCCCAGGCCGGCTGGCCTGGATGGATCCTCCCCAGCCCTTAGGCCAGATCCGTTCCTGTGTGTAATCCTCCTTGGCTGTGAGCGAGTTTTGTCACAGCTTCGTGTGTGTTGGGGAGTTGTGCTCAAATACACACTCCCTTTGCTCTTCTCCAGCCTCAGCAGCCCCCGGTCTTTCACCCTCCGGGTTGGCCTCTTTCCTGCGTCTCCCCTGACGTGGTGCAGCGGGCGCTGGGGGGTCTCGCCCGTCATGCCAGGGGGGAGGCGGGGTGCTAGCAAGGAAACCCCTCTTCCTCCCAAGTCGTAGAAAATGAGCGTGGGAAGGGACCTCAGGAGGTCACATCTAGTCCAACCCCCTGCTCGGAGCAAAACCAGCCCCGACTACATCAACCCAGCCCAGGCTTTGTCCAGCCGGGTCTCAAACACCTTCAAGGACGGAGTCCTCTGAGACTGCTCAGCCGAAACCCTGCAGCGGGCACGGGTTGAAAAGCCAGCCCATGGCCCAGCCTGGTCTGTGGGGGAGGCTGCGGCACAGCCTGTCCCTGGCAATGGGGAGCAGGGGAGGCAGTCACGCAGACAAACCGCAACAGAGACCGGGGGCTTTAAAATCCGCGTTTATTCTGCCAGGAGACTCAGCAGTCCGGTACGTCCAGGCTGCGGGCACTACGCCTAGGAGGACAACAGGAGACACGGTCCAGGGCAGAGAGGACAGGCCAGCATGACCGTGCGAGCCAGGGCTTCTGCTGGCTGCCCCCGCTCCTCTTGCCTCCCCCATGCACGGCGAGCCCCAAAGGGCACAGCACGGCAGGACGGCAGAGGATGGCCTTCCTCTGGGAGCCAGCCCGTTGCAGCGGGGTGGCCACTCGGGTGAAGGCAAGGAGGCTTCGCTGCCTGGGGGAAGCTAGGGGAGGAAGCGTTCACAGGGCACAGACTCAAATGTCCCGTCAGCGAGAGGTGCTGGGAAGGGCAGGGAAG